TGGATGGGAAACTTTGCCCAGTCTGCTGTGGAAGGCGTGGGCAAGGTGGTTCTGAAGATGACTTCCGGGAAGGAACTGACGTTAAACAACGTGCTGTATGTTCTAGAGCTGAGGAAGAATCTGGTGTCTGCCTCACTGTTGAACAAGCATGGCTTTTGCATGGTGTTCGAGTCAGACAAGGTTGTTTTGTCTAAGTTAGGAATGTTTGTAGGCAAAGGTTATGTAACTGATGGGCTTTTTAAGCTCAACGTAATGCCTATTATCATGAATAAGAGCAAAGTTAATTCTGTTTACTTGCTTGAATCTTCCAATTTGTGGCATGGTAGACTAGGTCACGTTAATTATAATTCTATACGTAGATTAATTAACATGGACCATATTCCTAATTTTCAAATTAACACAAATAACAAATGTGAAATTTGTGTTGAGGCAAAATTAACGAAAGTACCTTTCAAATCGGTTGAAAGGGAAACTGAACCACTAGAATTAATCCATAGTGATTTGTGCGATTTTAGATCGATACAAACGAGAGGTGGTAATAAATATTTTATCACGTTTATCGATGATAGCACACGTTATTGCTATGTGTATTTGCTTAAAAGCAAAGACGAAGCCTTGGAAAAATTCATTCTTTATAAGAATGAAGTTGAAAACCAACTTAATTGTAAGATTAAGAAAGTTAGAAGCGATCAAGGTGGTGAGTACGAAGCACCTATTGGTGACTTCTGTGCGAGTGTAGGTATAATACACGAGCGTACTGCACCTTACTCACCTCAATCGAACGGTGTTGCCGAACGAAAGAATCGTACATTGAAAGATATGATGAATGCGATGCTTATAAGTTCGGGCCTACCTCAAGACGCGTGGGGTGAGGCTATTTTGACAAGTAATTTACCTTTTAAATAAGGTAGCCCACAAGAAGCTTGATAAGACTCCTTATGAGCTGTGGAACGGTAGGAAACCTTCCTACCAGTACCTGAAAGTGTGGGGGTGTCTTGCCAAAGTTTTGGTGCCAACACCTAAGAAAGTAAAGATAGGTCCTAAGACAGTGGACTGTATCTTTATTGGCTATGCACATAATAGTAGTGCTTATCGGTTCTTAGTACACGAGTCCCATAATCCGGACGTACACGAGAACACGATAATAGAATCAAGGAATGCATCTTTCTTTGAAAATGTATTTCCTTGTAGGTCCAACGAGGGACCGAGTACGTCAAAACGAACATTTGACGAAGCTATGGATAATGATAGTGTGGAATTCGAGAGAGAACCCAAGCTCGAGCCGAGACGCAGTAAGCGGGAGAGAGTTGGAAAATCATTTGGTCCTGATTTTCTAACTTACTTGTTGGAGTACGATTCGAGTACTCTAACTTGTTTATTAGAAAATGAACCCGATTTTCTATCTTGTTTGATAGAAAACGAGCCTCGAACGTACGGAGAAGCCGTGACTTCTACAGAAGGACCAATGTGGAAAGAGGCTATTAAAAGTGAAGTGGATTCTATTTTACAGAATCACACTTGGGAACTTGTTGATCTTCCTCCGGGTAGTAAACCCTTAGGATCCAAGTGGGTCTTTAAAAGGAAGATGAAACCCGATGGTGCCATCGAGAAGTATAAGGCTAGACTTGTAATCAAGGGTTACAGGCAACGCGAGGGCCTTGATTACTTCGACATGTATTCTCCCGTGACGAGAATAAACTCCATTAGAATGATACTTGCTATAGCCGCGCTGCGGAATTTAGAAGTTCATCAAATGGACGTTAAAACCGCTTTCCTAAATGGCGAACTAGATGAGGAAATCTATATGGAACAACCCGAAGGGTTCGTGGTTCCGGGCCAAGAAAGGAAAGTGTGTAAGTTGGTTAAATCGCTATATGGTTTAAAACAAGCGCCTAAGCAATGGCACGAGAAGTTTGACCATGCGATGTTAACTAATGGGTTTAAAATAAACGAAAGTGACAAATGTGTCTACGTTAAAGAAACGATAGACGGTTATGTCATTCTTTGTTTATACGTAGATGACATGTTCATCGTTGGTAGTAACGATCGAATGATCAAATCTACCAAAAACATGTTAAATGCGAGATTTGACATGAAGGATATGGGTTTGGCTGATTTAATCCTCGGGATTAGAATCATTAGAAGACCTGATGGTCTGGTGTTAAGCCAATCACATTATATTGATAAAATCCTTGAAAAATTTAACAAGGATAATCATCAAGGGACTAGGACGCCATTAGATCGAAGCGTTCATCTAACCAAGAACCACAGGGAGTGTATTTCTCAAGTAGAATATGCTCGGGTTATTGGTAGTTTGATGTATCTAATGAGCTGTACTAGGCCCGATATTGCCTTTGCGGTTAGTAAACTCAGTAGATATACGAGTAACCCCGGTGCCATGCACTGGACGGCAATAGTGAAGGTTCTGAGATAGTTAAGGTATACTCGAGACCTTGGACTGCACTATGGGAGATATCCTGCTGTACTTGAAGGGTATAGCGACGCTAGCTGGATATCTGATATTAAGGACTCTAAGTCCACGAGTGACTACGTGTTTACACTAGCCGGTGCAGCCGTTGCATGGAAATCCTCTAAACAGACCGTGATAGCTAGATCCACGATGGAATCTGAGCTGATAGCCTTAGACAAATGTTGTGAAGAGGCTGAATGGCTATGCCATTTTTTAGAGGATATTCCTAATTAGGAAAGACCTGTACCTCCAATGTGTGTGCATTGTGATAGTCAAGCCGCAATTGGAAGAGTACAGAATCATATGTATAATGGCAAGTCTAGACATGTGCGTCGTAGACATAATACCATTAGACAACTTCTCACAACTGGTGTTGTCTCGATTGACTACATAAAGTCAATAGACAATATAGCGGATCCGCTAACCAAAGGGTTATGTAGAGTAGCTGTGGAGAAGTTGAGACGAGGAATGGGTCTAAAGCCCTTGGTATAAAGTTCTATAGTGGACACCCAACCTAGTTGGCACCTAGGTTCAATGGGACAACTAAATTATGGAATGGAGCGTGTCATTGTGGGGGTCTCGGATTCCCTACCACTCCTCGTTAGAAACAGTGGCTCCCGCACAAGGTTAGCATGTTAAATGCTTTAGTGATTCGAATGTTGGTTGACATATGTGAGTATGCGGGATACTCGGGAAAGAATCACCTATGTGAGAGAGAAGTGAGGGTCGCTTCAAAGGAGAATTGACGGGCACAATTCTTCACAAACTCTTGCAGAACCAGGAATGGTGACCCACGACCAAAATGGGCACAATCATGAGAACAAAGCATAGTTGGGAGGTTCCTGTGTGAGATATGTCATCGTCTACACAAACGGCAGTCGGCTCAAAGACATCGCGTTCTACCGTACAGTTAGTAGAGTAAATGTATCTTCACGAGGGAAGGTTCAAAGGGTGTGACCCTACCTATCCTATGAAGGGATCAACCATTGAACACAGTTGTTTCCGTTTTTAAAACTACCCCGAAAATCAATTTTCATTCATGTGGGGGATTGTTGGGAAAATTAGCTTAAAATGGCATAAAATGGCATATTAAGTGGCTATTTTGTGGTACAATTATCAGTGGGGTCAACTTCCGATTTGGGTCAGGTCAAAGTGGATTCGGGTTCTTCGTAGTAAGACGAAGAGATTGATATATTGTACGCTCAAAACGGATAATGGGTGAATGAGATATTGATTCTCAAAGTAGACCCATTTGAGTTGGGAAATGAAGGAAAATAGAGGACTTTGTCCCACATTGGTTTGGAAACAAGATTTGCCCCCCTTATATACATGAGCTCTTTTGAAACTTGTAGAATTGTATAGCATAGAGGCTCTCTCGCGCGGGGTGGGGGGGGGGGGGTGCAAATCAAAATCCAACTAGAGGAGATCGGAAAAGGCTTGATTCAAGCCCGAGCTCACCTGCGGGCACGAATGTTGGCTGGCCTTACGGGCTAAGTTATGCCAAACTTCGGTATCATTTTCCAACTGGTAGTGCATCTGTGACCAGGAGAGTAGTGCACTCTCGGGTTGCACCACAGTGCGCACGAGAGATGTACTCTCGTGTTGCCTGGTCCATGTGCTCTCGTGTGAACCTGCACCCCAACGGTCTGAAACCCGAAAGTTCAGCCTGTTATACAGATTAAACTCATCTGTTACGGAATTAATACTATTTTAATTCCAATTTTAAATTCTGAGTTTAATCCTACTTAGTGGGTGGCTGTTACAGGTGTTACACAATTGGTTTAATACCAATTAAAAGCCATGTTGAATGCTATCCCTTCCAACAGCACTATATAAAGAGAGGTAGGGCAGAAGCATTTTTACACAACACAAAAAACGAAAGGAATTCCAGTAGCTTTCAGCTTCTCAAAACTCTGCTTCTACTCTCTTCTTTACCAACTTGTGTTCACTGCTTTGCTTTGTTTGTCGGGTTCCTTGTTTAGGTGCTTAAACAAGGAATCGTAGCACGTTTTATCCTAGGAAACCTAGGCTACAACGCTCCTAGCACTTGTGGGAGGTAGCAAATAAGGTTTTAAGGAAAAGAACTTCGTGTTCGAACTTGTGCTAAACCTATATCCAAACACTCCACCTTTTCCTTCCCAGATTTTCTTTTTTCCCATATAATATTAATCTTTTCGTAGGATTATTATTTTTGGGATTTTTCAACCTTATTAGCCAATAGTTTATTGCCTTCACTTGGCGTTCAACCTAAATTTGCCCAATTATACATTCACGATACAGAGAATGAGATAGAAAATCGCCGCAACTCTTTGAGGTATAATATTATGTTTTACTAAACTCTTTTAGGGCTTTAATTGGTTAATACGGAAATTCTTATATTATATATTATTATTTTTTTAGGCCGGAAAACAATGGATCTACATTGCATGTTGAGGTAGTTCATGACATTAAGCAAGTCCTAGATGACCCCAATGTTTTGGTTAAGTCATTTCGAATGGTTATGGAATCTAATCCTCAAAGTCAAATTAGAATGAGATTAATAGGAAAGAGGACTAAAGATGCCGGAACGTATGCGCTACCAACTACTTCGGAGGTTGCTGCTCTCATTGTTGGAGATTTAGACCCTTCCATGGGTGAACATGATATTGTTGTCGAGTCTAAATCTGGAGTACTGAAACGAATAAGTGAATTAAACCCAGCATATTTACCATTGCAATACCCAATCTTATTTCCATATGGAGAGGATGGTTTTAGGGAAGATATACATTTTGCAACACATGGTACTAAACAAAATTTTGCAAGAAAGAGTGTTTCTCAAAGAGAGTACTTCGTGTTCCGTATTCACGAAAGATCAAATGAGATCTGAACTATAATGTATGCTAAAAGGTTATTCCAACAATTCTTGGTTGATGCGTATACTATGGTTGAATCTTCGAGGTTGCTCTATATTAGGTCAAATCAAAAGCTTTGAGGTGTGAGGCGTAAAAAGGTCTCTCTGATGCGTTGACGCGAGGTGAAGTTCAACCTAGCTCTCAAGGTAAAAGAATAATATTACCTTCAAGTTTCACGGGAGGAACAAGATACATGATACAAAACTACCAAGGCGCCATGGCAATTTTCAGATTTATAGGTTATCCAAATCTATTTATTACTTTTACGTGTAATCCTAAATGGCCAGAGATACAACGCTTTTTGGAGAAAAGTAATTTGAAAGCTGAAGATCGACCGGACGTTGTTTGCCGGGTTTTCAAGATGAAGCTAGATTGTTTAATAAAAGAAATAAAAAAATGGGAAACTATTTGGTCACGTAAGGGCAGGTGCGTACCGTAATTCCTGTGAACTGACGTTTTTCATAAAATACGTATGCACCGAATCTTATAACTCAGAGGATCTAATTGTTTATTGACAGTTATATACACAATTGAGTTCCAGAAACGGGGTCTTCCGCATGCTCACATATTACTGTTCCTACAAGGGACGAGCGACTTTGCCAACCCTGCTTTTATGGACAGGATCATTTCAGCCGAGATCCCAGACAAGCTGGCAGACAATGAGTACTACAAAGCTGTCGAAGAATTCATGTTGCACGGCCCGTGTGGTGTTGCCAGGAGTAATTCCCCGTGCATGGTAAATGGCAAGTGTTCGAAGCATTTTCCAAAAAGATACATTGATGCATCACAATTTGACCAGGATGGTTACCCGTTGTATCGAAGAAGGGATGATAAGAGGACAATAAAAAAAAATGGAATAGAGTTGGATAATAGGTATGTTGTACCACATAATCGGTACTTGCTCTTGAAATACAAAGCCCACATTAATGTAGAGTGGTGTAACCAATCTAGGTCAATCAAGTACCTATTCAAGTATGTCAACAAGGACAACGACCGTGTAACTGCTGAGTTTTATAAGACTACGATGGATGAAGCTGGTAATGAGATTGTTGATGAAATAAACATGTACTATGACTGCAGATACATCTCTGCATGCGAGGCAGCATGGAGGTTGTTTAGCTTTGAAGTCCAGTACAGAACTCCCCCGGTTGAGCGACTAAGCTTTCACTTGCCTGACTGCCAATCAGTTGTTTTCCAAGACGATGATACGATTGATCATGTCCTCAATAGAGAGACCGTTGGGCAAAGTATGTTTAATGCATGGTTTGTAGCCAACCAGAATTTCAAAGAAGCGAGCTTACTAACTTACATTGAGATGCCTACCAAATTTGTGTGGAAAAAGGACATCCGTGAATGGCATCCAAGAAAGAAGGGTTTCTCAATTGGTCGAATATTCTATGTACCACCAGCTTCAGGTGAAATATATTATTTGAGGTGTCTATTGAACATAGTCCGTGGTCCAAAAGGTTTCCAAGATATTAGGACAGTTAACGGTGTTGAGTACTTGACCTTTAGAGATGCATGTTATGCTCATGGATTGCTAGACGATGATAAAGAGTACATTGATGCTATAAATGAAGCAAGATACTGGTCAACTGCACATTCATTGAGGAAGCTATTTGTTGTTTTACTAACATCCTCCTCAATTATTAGACCAGAAAATGTTTGGAATCAAGTGTGGCAACATTTGTGTGAAGATGCTCAACACTATCAAAAAAGAATATTAAAACAACAAGGTAATGTAACTTTTTTATGATACAATAAACTTTTCATCAATTTTCTTAGGTTATAATTATAACTATCTGGTTGTTGGTATCGTAACAGATTTGGTCTTAACAGAGGATGAGAAAAAGAACTTTGGATTGTTTGAATTGGAAAACCTTTTGGGGAAACAAAATAAGTCTTTAAAATACTACCCTCCCATGCCAATACCAACTACTGATAATTCAAGGTTGTTTCAAAATCATTTGGTTTTTGAAGAGTTATGTTACAATCGTGAACAGTTGAAGGAAGATGCTGAAGTGCTGTGTGCCAAACTAACGGAAGAACAGAGTCTCATTTATGATACTGTTATCCAAGACATTGCAGACAATAAAGGTGGCTTATTTTTTTGTTATGGATACGGTGGAACTGGAAAGACTTTCTTGTGGAGAGCGTTGTCAGCTGCAGTCCGATGCAAAGGTCAGATTGTTTTAAATGTCGCATCAAGTGGCATAGCTTCTTTGTTGTTACCAGGTGGTTGAACTGCACACTCAAGATTTGCAATACCTATTGCAATAAATGAAGACTCTACCTGTAACATTAAACAATGCAGCGACTTGGCTGAATTGTTGATAAAGACGAGTTTGATAATTTGGGATGAAGCTCCCATGATGCACAAACATTGCTTTGAAGTGTTAGATCGAACTATGCGGGATTTTTTGCGTTTTGTAGACCCTCATAGTGAAATGAAGACATTTGGTGGTAAAACAGTTGTTTTGCGGGGAGATTTCTGCCAAATCCTTCATGTAGTTCCAAAAGGTACACGGCAAGATATTGTGTCTTCAGCCATAAATTCATCATACCTATGGGATAGTTGCAAAGTTTTAAGGTTGACTAAAAACCTCAGACTAAGTTCGGTACCCAACGGTGGAAACCGGCAGGCATTACAAGAATTTGCTGATTGGATTGCTAATGTCGGCGATGGAAAGATGGGTGGGCGGAATGATGGTTTCGCAGAGGTTGAAATACCAAAGCACATGTTACTATCATCCGGAGGGGACGATATTAAAACAATTGTGCACAGTACATTTCCTATGTTTGCAAATGGAAACACTGACCCTGAGCACCTGCTAGGTCGTGCAATATTAGCACCAACGCTAGATGTGGTCAACGCAGTCAATGACTATATGACTGAGTTGCATAATGCCGAAAGCAGGTCATACTATAGTTCAGACGCAGTATGTAAAGCCGATGGCGACAACGGTATATTTGCAGATGTACACACACCGGAATTTCTAAACAGCATTAAGGTGTCAGGTCTACCAAATCATACACTGACTTTGAAAATTGGTTCACCAGTAATGTTAATGAGAAATATTGACCATTCTCTTGGTTTGTGAAATGGAACTCGGTTGATAATCACAAAGCTAGCAGACCATGTTATTGAAGGCGAGATACTGACTGGTCCTAACAAATGTACAAAAGTGTTGATCCCCCGAATGTCAATGTCACCCTCTGATCCAATATTGCCGTTCAAGTTTCAACGAAGGCAATTTCCATTGATGCTTTCATATGCAATGACCATAAACAAAAGTCAAGGACAAATGTTGACTCATGTTGGTTTAATACTAAAGAAATCGATTTTTGTACACGGACAGTTATACGTAGCTGCATCTCGGGTTAACAATCCAGATGGTCTCAAAATATTGATAGTAAAAGACTCAAGTTCAACTACTACATCAACCACTAATGTTGTATATCATGAAGTTTTCAATAATTTGTAATTTTGTAAAGTTCTCTTTTTTTAATACCATCAACTTGCAACTAATTGTAATATACCATTTTCATATTGTTTTTGTTGGATTCCCAAATATATTTCATTTATATGTTATAAATTTTAACGCATTAGTTCACACTATTTATAACATAACATACACACAATTAATACTTTTTAATTTACATATCGTGCAACGCACCAGTCAATTACTAGTATATATATATATATATATATATATATATATATATATATATATATATATATATAATTATTTATTTATATTTAGGTATAATAATGTGAGAACAAAATAAATTATCATTCTCATTAATCCATTATGGTAATTTTATGCTAATCTCTCTATATAGTTTATATTCATAATGTGTAATAGTATAATTGCACAATATTAATATTTTTACCTAATAATTATTATAGTAATTAAGGAATTAATTGCACAGATATTAGTATAATTAATTAATAATTATTATGATAATTAAGTTAATAATTACCTTAATAATAGTATAATTACAATTAAACATGGGTCGTTGGATTTTTTTATAACTATACAATTAATTTTATGATAATCTATATTTTTTTTTTATGGTTAAGGTGTAATACTATGAGAAGTAAATAAACTATTATCATTTCTATTTTTTTCGTGTAATTACTATGGTAATTTTATGGTTATATATATATATATATATATATATATATATATATATATATATGGAACCGCGCGGTGATGTTGTTCTGAATGTTGCTTCCAGTGGAATAACATCTTTGCTCCTGATAGGAGGCAGGACAATGCATTCCAGATTTGCTATACCACTCTCTTTGAACGAAGATTCCACGTGCAATATATCGCAAGGCATATTTTTTTTTATGATAACCTATATTTTTTTTTTTATGGTTAAGGTGTAATACTATGAGAAGTAAATAAACTATTATCATTTCTATTTTTTTCGTGTAATTACTATGGTAATTTTATGGTTATATATATATATATATATATATATATATATATATATATATATATATGGAACCGCGCGGTGATATTGTTCTGAATGTTGCTTCCAGTGGAATAACATCTTTGCTCCTGATAGGAGGCAGGACAATGCATTCCAGATTTGCTATACCACTCTCTTTGAACGAAGATTCCACGTGCAATATATCGCAAGGCATTGACCTTGCTGAGCTTATAATAATGAGCAAATTGATAATATGGGATGAAACACTAATGACACACAAACACTGTTTTGAGACTTTAGACAAAACTATGAGGGATTTATTGAGGTTCGCCATACTGGATAGTGCTGAAAAGACTTTTAATTTGGTGGAAAGACAATAGTTTTGGACGGCAATTTTAGACATATCCTACCTGTTATTCCTAAAGCAACAAGACTAGTAGTTGGATTCCCCAAACATACATTTGTATAAAACTTTTTTATTTTCTTTTTTTTTTTACCGTTCAGGTTGCATTTTCGCTCATTGGAAATTGTTCCAAAGCAATGTTCTTCCCTAGAGCATATATATACACAAAACATTAAACAAAATACAAAAATTACAAATTTGAATATAATTAAAATACAAATTACTTTATAATTTTAAATCCTAATGACTTGGAACTCTGAAACAGCCTTTTACTTTTGGCGTTTCAATAGCCGGTGCAACATAATGATTCAGATTCATTAATGTTGTATCCTTTTTAGAACTCCATTTGCTTCATAATTCTTCTATAAATACTACACTACCAACAACGCAATCCAACTCCATTTGCACAACATGAAAATCTCTCCAGGTTACGAGTGTTATAACCTACAAGAGTCAAATGTGAACAAGATTGCAAAACCTCAAACAGAATACTAAACTACAGACAACAGGTAAAGAACCAGATTGATTGGGATATGATCTAAAAAGTTTATTTATGTATTCTTGTGTGCTACAATATTATTTGCATTGTATAAATTTGTAATAATCCCTGTCTTTTTCCTCTAGATGTGACTGAGCATTTCAAATGAGGTGTCCTTGCAATATGATTTTGCTACTGTTCAACTTATTACCAATAGTTTCTCTCCTAGCAATAAGATTGGTGAATGTTGATATGAACTGGTATACAAGGTAAAATATTTAGTACTTAGTAGTCGATCGTAATTGTTTCTTGATATTTAACTAATTAATACTTAGGGAATGCTTCCCAGCGGACAAGAAATAGCGATAGAAAGGCTATCCGGGAGCTCAGTACATGGAGAAAAAGAATTCAAGAACGAAGTTGAAGTACAAGGATTTCATATTTCATACTCCGTATTTAAGAGCCAGATTCATAAGCCATTTTTTGCTCATATTTAAAAAATATTTTACTTTGACAATAAAGTTGAATTAGTAAAGAAATAAAGTGTTTTTCTTTATGAATCAGAGTAATAGAATTACTGGATTCACAAATAATTTATAAATAGAGCCAACAAAATTGGAGATAAATAATCATATGCATCATACTGATGTTGAATTGAATACAACAAAAAAAATATCAGATTATGCGATTACCACCAAAATAGCTTATTTTTAAATATTATATATGCTTATTTTTTGGAAAAAAAATAGATTATTTTTAAGAAGATTAGCACAGATTTGAGTTATGAATGTACTTAATTTGTGGAAAATTTCTTTGACCCTTTTTTAGGGAAGGGTTTAGAATTCTTAATCTCTCTGCATGTATCGGTCCAACTGTTTACAGTGCTCTTCAATATATATCTTCCTTTATTGATTTTCGGATGTTGCAAGATCTGTAAACGAAAGAGTTTAGGGTTTCAATGTATTTAACAAAATTATGTTTGTTGGTAGAAAGTATAATATTCATACTTATGAAGAATCTGCCTCTATAGCCATGGAAGATGATATATGCTGGTCGAAAAATTTAGGGCTTATATGGAATCAGAATGTACTAATTATTTAGGTTTTGCATGTGCAATTTTCGGAATTAGAAGGGATAGGTCTGTGTAGCCATGGGAGATGATATATGCTCTATCTCCATTTTTGTTGAGGGAGTGGGGAATTGTAGAGAAGTGCGAAGAAGGCAGGAGGGTTTGTAGCTGGAGACGCAGATTGCGGATAGATGGTGATGCTGAGGCAGAGAGGCTGCGGGACAGGGAGAGGACTGTAGGGATAAGAGACCGCAGGATCAAGAAGTCATCTTCATTCCATGATAACATAGAAAGAGAGACAGAGCGACTGAGAGATAGAAACGTCGAGTTGGGGAAGAAATGTTGAGGAGTGATATGTGTTTGGCGTGATGGTGTTATTCTAGATCCTTCATCCATTTCTTTTATTATTATTATTATTATTTTTATTTTTATTAAATTATTGATTATTGATATATTATTAAGATTACTACGGAAGTATGAAGTATCTTTTTGTTATATTAGGACTCTATCATCATTAGTATTCACCTATTACTAGTATTTGACCCGTGCGTTGCACGGTATGTTATTTAAAAATTTTTAATTGTGTGTATTTTATGTTAAAATTTGTGTGATATATTTGGGAATACAACAAAAAACATATGAAAATGGTATGTTACAAATAGTTGCTTCACAGAGGAAACTTACATATATTATTACACCTTTATAATTTATAATAATATATAATATAATTATATAATTATATTAATATATACGGAGTAGTACATTTAGAAACCCAGCATGAAGTATGCCAGAAGTTTCTTCCTTCTCGTTGAGATGAGAAGTGATGGGGAAACCTGACTTTCTTATTTCTCGATAACGATTCCATTTCTCTTGCTCAATTTCTTCCTTCTACAAATTTATTGCTCTCTTGTGTAAGTATTGTCCTCAAATTTTACTCATGGATGGCGATTGTTCATTGTACTTTCCTAATTCTAAGCTTGGTTCAGATTAATATTTTTGGACCTTTTTAACGCAATCTAGGTTTGTTCTTCAGAGCTTTATGTTGATTTTACAAATCTAAGTAAATATACTTATTTTCATCAACAGATCTAGCATGGTGACTCACAAAAGCCATCGATCCTTACTACGGTGACTCGCTCAGTCACTCGAAATTAACATTGTCTAGTATTTGCTTATTCTATTTCAGCTTAACACGTTCATTTTTGTAGAGATTTAATTTACAAAACAATGAGTAACTCTGGTATTTGTAAGCTTTTATATAGTTTCGTGATGCCTAACATTCAATAAACATGTTATAGAACTCAGATTTATATTGTCATATACAGTAACAGTAATCTAAAAGACTAAGTTTAGACTTTAGATGACTCTAGTTTTAATGGTTATTACTTGTTTTATGTTTAGGCTTGAATTAAAAAATATTACTTGTAGACAAAAAGAGTTGCTCACCATTCATAACAACACTGTGTTTCAAGTGAATCTTGGAATATAAAAAGATTTTCTTATAAATTCAATCTTATGTAATTAAAAACTGACACACATGTGAAATACTTAAAAAACTATTAATTCATACCATATTATTTACAATTTAAACTATAAATATTTTAATTATAATAAAAGTATTATAACAATGACCAGTAGAATATGACAGCTTAAATAAAATTGATAAGCAAGTTATTAATAATTATAAACATATAAATTAAAAATATTATATATTATAGATTATAGATATGGTAAGCCTAATATACTTAACTAAGGCATCATTTCCTAAACCTTGGTTACTACTTTTGGTTAAGGACATTTGGTCTTTGTTGACCTTATCTGTACTCTTTATCTTTGAATGTGGATGCATCATCTCCGATGTTAGCTTTCCATTTCTATTGTACGATACATACACACCGGGAAGCCTTGGTTTAGCACAATTCATGTGTTGACCTTATCTCCTACAAAATTAGAGGGTGTGATCTATGCCACCGTTCGCCATTTTCACGCAATTTCTATCTCTCTAACATATTCACGATGAAGAAACCCTGCCGCTGTGTCGCGATAGAAAGCTTACAGCTGCGGCTGGAATGTGGGAATCTGAGTGTAAGGTTGTTCCTCTACAAACATTTTCTAGGCTTTTCATTTATATAAAATCATTCGATGTTCTTGTAGTCATCGATCTGTTTTGATTCGATAAAACATCTTGAAGATGAAGATGATGAGATTTTGGGAGTCCATTTCAGACATGCAATAGTTGGGGGAATTGAATCTGAGTGTAGGGTTTACACGAATCTATTCTCGCATGTCCGATTGAGGGCCGAGGTCTATGAGCGAAGGTTTAGGGTTTTAAAATGTTTGACTCCAAGTTTGGTTTTCAGAATTGAATTCGTGGAAATCGTCGCTTTTAGCTACAATAGCTTCGGATTTCCCATAGTTTTCAGATAAGTTATCAGACACCTTCAATTTTAAGTGTATTTCAAAACATTATCTATAATTTGTTTGATTATTTTGCGATAATAATGTTCGTAGTCATATATCTGATGGTTTATTTCCTTTTTGTTTATGTTATTTCAGATTTATATCTTCTGCTATTCTTAGACCTTGACAGGAGGGTTTCACAGTTTTGGATACAGTTTCGAAGAAAGCTAAGTTTTCCTATTCTAACAGTTGAATATGTAATATTAGATGCATCATGACATGATTAGATGATTGCAGTAGATGATTGATTACATGCTTTGATAGTGTATTTAATGAATTTCTTGAAGAAATACCTTTTGTTGGACGACAATGTTTCCTCTTGGATCCAATCGTGCATGAAGATGTAATCTTCTTCATGGTCTGCAATAGCAATGCTTTACCTACTGTGTTTTTTATGATTTGAGTTTATTATATTCAGGCAACTGTTGTAAATCAAATATTGTTGTCCATGGTTTGGTATTTATAGAGCAGTTACATGAGTTTGTCTTGGAAGACACTAAAGTGTGCTTAATTATTTATGTTATCAATTACATAGAGAACCTGAAAGGTTGCTGTTTGTTATTAATGTTATATGCATTTTTTTCAATTACATAAAGAACCTGAAAGGTTACTGTGTGTTGTTAGGGTTTCCCATGTGTGGTGTTACTGTTCCCATTGATCTTGATATCAATTTTTCTGGGTAATATGTTCAAAATTGGTTTTTTTAGAGTATATTTAACTAAATCATAATCTATATAAATTGTAAGTAGTTTAAATTGGTTAGTCATTGACTGATTTGTAATTTGGTAATTCACTTTTTCTAATTCTATTTTTTTTAGAACATGTATAAGCCAATTTAAGTACACATTAATAAGAAAAAGTGTATGCAATTATGCTTAAATTTTTATAACATGTCACAGTTATTTAAAAACTGATTTAGTTGCCAATTTGAATAAGTATATGAGTTTTCCTTTATTTGAAAACACTAAATATTTATTTTTTTGCAGGGCATCTCGTAAATTGGGGCATCAAATAAAAACTAATAATCTCTACCACTGCAATATGAGGTCATGTTACTTTAGTATTTTAAATGTTTTTGGATATTAGGATGTGTTGTAATTATTTTTAATATTAAAAATAGTTTTTCTGTGAGTAAATGTATTCCTAAGACCTAATTTGTTCTAAACTTACCTTGATATTGCAGCTAAGCTGTTGAGGTTGATGATTTCGAATAAAATATGCCTGTTGATGATTTCAAATAAAATATGCCCCAAACTTAACAGTGGGAATCCCACAAGAGTATGCAGAAAAGATCATTTTAGGTTTTGAATTGTGAGTTTAGTATTGTATTTTTAATTGTGATCTTAAGAGTGTTTTGTAATAATAATACTTGTGGTCTTTTTATTTAATTTTTCATCTCATTTACTAACCACACTTTTTTTTGCACTTTTCAGGATGTTCAAATTTGTCTAAGAGACAGAGAATACACATTGGTGGTAATGTATTCTATGTGTAACAGACATAGAATACATATTGGTGGTAATGTTTTGACAGCCCAAGAAGGTTTTGGCAAAGAAGGTAACTATTTATAATTAGAAATCTTTTCCTAATTAAGTGGTAAGTTGTGCATAGATCAAATTCATATAGTATTCTACAACTAAATAGAACTTCTCAATCTACAATATTATACATGGCCTAAAGTATTCTCTATCCATCTGTGTTTCTGTTTTTCTTCTCTTCATGCATAACCTCTTTGTTTCTGGTTTTTTTTCTCTTCATGCATAACCTATGTGGCTTGAAATTGGTTGATCCACTCTTGTTGCAATGATACTATCACTTGATATTTGTGATTGGTTGCTATATTTGTATACCACCCGCCTGCGAAATAGAAACAGAAACACAAAGACAGTAATGATGGAAAAATAATACATTTGGGATAGTTATATATTATTCTCTACATGTTTGTGTCATATGTTATTCTCTACATGTTTGTGTCTGTGAAATGCTATTTTCCAGATTGCTACTATCCTGAGTTAGCAATGGCATTTCATTACTGTGATAGGGTATTGTATTGCTAGTCCTTTCACCTGCAAATGAAATAAATAGCATAGAAAGCATGCATTTAACACATACTGTAAAGATTTGACAAAAGAAAAAACATCTTAAAATGTTAATAGTTCACATACACATATGATTAACCTAACGTAGACCAAATATTCTTCATGAATCTGACTGGTCCATGTGAATATGACTCCAAGATTGGTCCTGCAAAACGAAATTTAAAAGAATCCAATTATAGACAATGTAAACTAATCCTTCATAGTTCGTATTAAAAGTGCCACAGGGCACAATTGATCAACAATGTTATTGGGAAACACAACCAAGAAACATCAACCAAAGGCATTAAATAAGCACACTGTTAGTTGGAAAAATATGTGTTTTACAAATATTGTTTCTCTTTTCTTTTTTCTTTTTTTCCTATGTAGACTGTTAGGTTCCTGAATAGAAAAATGAATAAAAGCACTTCATTATAAAAAATAAAGCAGTGAAAACTGCACCAAATTTTACTTCTGCACATGATGTTTCTCCTGTATTCTTTTTATTTTTCTAAGCACACTGTTAGGTTCCCTGAATAGAAAAATATCAAAACACACAATTAGCAGGAAAAAAAAGCTCATAAAAATGGTCAAAATAGCAGTTTTACACATGTTCATCAGTCATGTTTTACACATTGTTTCTCTTTTTTTTTTTTTTGTCTATGTAGACCGTTAGGTTCCTGGGGCAATTTAAGAACCATAACTTCATTCCTAAAAGAAAAAAAAAATTAAATCTAAATTGTTAGGAAAATTGAATGAAATAAAAAAATTAATCTAATCTTGGCTGTAAAGAAAGTAAATATGCAAACAATGAATTGTATACCTTTCCTATCTCCTCATGAGTTGGCTCCTTCATCTCCTGAGTATATGCTTCTCCTCCACTGATAGTTCCACTTCCATGTGCTTTGGCTACGGCTGTGGAGTAGATATTGGATGTTTTCCCTGCCGGTAGGCTCTAATTCGACGCTGATCCCTTTTCGGCGAGGCTTCAGGTATAATTCGGCTGATCCCTTTTCGGCGAGGCTTCGACGCTGCTCCGTTTCCGGCGAGACTTCTGGTATAACTGCTGGCCTGCATGACTTAGTATTTGTATTGAAGACTGAAACTTGATAGTCTTTGCATTGAAGAGAAAGTGATGTATATATAGAGGTTTAGATATAATTGCTTCCCTACCGTTAGTTAACGAAAGGGCAGAAATCGATTGGTCTGCAATTAATTACTTTGGAAAGACAAATCCGACTCTTCACCATAAATATTATATGGGAAAATGAAGAGTACACAGGGCTTAAACTTATAAATTGAATCTGATTGTCTTATAAAAAAATCTTGGGCGTAAAATAAATAGAAACAAAATATTTAGTTTAAATATTTTTTGGTAACCGATGAGTTTACACGTTCTTCTAAGCAAAATGATATAAATATTTGATACTCCTCAAAACGACGTAGTATTGTTTGGGCGGGAATTTTTTGCTCCTATTGTTTTGCTTTAATATATATAGAGATTATTATTAGTAATTAGTATTCGTTACCTATTATTATTAGTTTCGTCTTGTAATAAGTTTACTATTCACTACTATATATACTCCTGTACAGACTCATTATTATTGATTCAGATATATCGTATCCTCATCTGGTATCAGTAGGTTTCTCTCTCCTCTCTCTAATGGCGCACCTCGGATCTGATGACGGCTCTGTTGGTAGTTCTGAACGGACCGTTTCCGAGGCCGCGCTTGTTGCACCGCTGCAGTCGGGGGTGTCTTTCTCTTCGGCGCATCACTTCGTATCCATCAAGTTGACATCCCGCAATTTTTTGTTTTGGCGTACTCAGCTTCTTCCGTTCTTGGATGGCCAAGGGTTGTTGGGTTTTGTCGATGGTACTTCGGTATGTCCGCCGATCATCGCGCTTGCCGTGCCGCCTGCCGAGGGAGCTGTTCCTGCCGTGCCTTCGTCGGCTTCGTCTTCCGCTGCTCGGAGTGCATGGCTCCGTCAAGATAAGGCCGTGCTCTCCTTATTAATCTCATCCTTGTCCGACGAGATGATGCACCTCGCAATCGGTAAGTCCACTTCTCGGCATTTGTGGTTGGCAATCGAACAGGTTCTTGGTTCGACTACACGGGCTCGTGCCCTCCGGTTGGTGGGCGAGTTGCAAGGATTACGGCAGGGGGATGCTTCGATCCCGGACTATCTTGGCCGTGCGCAGGTGCTTATCGAGGATTTAGCGCTTGCCAGCCGTCCGGTGACGCTAGAGGATCAGAATATGTATATATTCCGAGGCTTGCGGTCCGAATATCGTCCTTTGGTGGTGTCGCTCACAAGGGGTGCTCCGGTGTCTCTGTCCGAGCTATCCGATTTTCTTGTTTCGCAGGCTTTTATATGTGCCGATGATGCTAGTGATGTTGCTGCTGCTCCGGTCGCCATGGCGGCTCAGCGAGGTGGAGGCCGTTCGGGCGGGCAGCAGCGTGGAGGCGGCAACCGCGGCCGTGGTCGCAGCAAAGGGCGTGGCCGTGGTCGTGGCGGTGCCGGGGCTGTCCAGTGCCAGATCTGCTCCGGCGAGGGCCATTCGGCCGCTTCGTGCTTTCGCCGGTACGATGGAGCTCCGGGGCCGAGAGCGCATGTTGCGTATCCTGTGGATGATGCGGCTTCGGTTAGCACTCAGCAATGGTTTCCCGACACTGGTGCGTCGAACCATGCCACCCCAGATCCGTCTTTGATGTCCTCGACGCTCACTTATAACGGTCCGGATCATCTTCGTGTTGGTGACGATAAGTGTTTACCTATTGTTGGTACTGGTTCGTCTTCGGTAGCCTCTTCTAAAACACTGTTTCGGTTGTCTGATGTTCTTTTTGTTCCTGGGCTTTCTGCGTGTTTATTATCTGTGCAACGGTTTGCCCGTGATAATAATGTATTCTTTGAATTTCACCCTGATTGTTTCTTTGTGAAGGATCGTTCAACCAGGGAAGTTCTGTATAGAGGGCAGGCTTCGGGGGGTCTCTATTCTTGGCCTGTTTCTCGTTCGAGTCCCGCTGCGGTAGTGGCTTTGCGTGTCTCCTCTGACGTTTGGCATGGTCGGTTGGGTCACCCTCATCCTCGTGTCTTGCGGCAGATTTTGAATTCGTGTTCCATTGATTCTAGTTTTAGTAATAGTTCGATGTCGTGTCGTGCTTGTATGCTTGGGAAATCATCTCGGTTTCCCTTGCCTCGTGTCAATACTACTACGTCGCATGTTTTAGAGCTTATTTATACTGATATTTGGGGCCCAGCGCCTTTTCTTTCTGTCAATGGTTTTCGTTATTTTGTTTTGTTTGTTGATGACTACACACGCTATGTATGGTTTTATCCTATGCGATTAAAAACTGATGTGTATGCTATCTTCGAGCAGTTTCGGTCACTAGTTGAGCGTTCATATGGTCGTAAGATTGTCTCTATACAATCTGATTTAGGGGGAGAGTATAAACGGTTGCACCATACTTTCGTCTCTTTGGGTATCAATCATAGGCAATCTTGTGCCTATACCCATGAGCAGAATGGTAGAGTTGAGCGTCAGCATCGTCACGTTGTGGAAATGGGTCTGGCTCTCTTGGCTCAGGCTTCGGTTCCACAGCGATATTGGGATTATGCCTTTGAGACTGCGGTCTATCTCATCAATAAAATGCCTACTCGAGTTCTAGACAATGTCAGTCCTCATTATCGTTTGCATCATTCTAATCCTTCTTATTCCTTCTTGCGTGTGTTTGGCTGTCTCTGTTATCCTCTGTTGTGCCCGTACAATCGTAACAAGTTGCAGTATCGGTCATCCCCGTGTGTGTTTCTTGGTTATCCGTCTTCATTTCGTGGCTATCGTTGTTTAGATCCTGCTACTAACAAGGTATTCATTTGTCGTCATGTACGGTTTGATGAGACCGTATATCCGTTTGCTTCTTCTATGCCTTCTCAAGTCTCTAGCTCTCGCCCGGTTGAGCCGTGGGGTGTTGGTGCCGTTCGGGTTGGTGTTGGCTCCGATGTTTGTCCCACTGGACCTGATCCTCATCCGGAGTTGGACGCGGATTCCGGGGCTGCCGCAGCTGGTTCAGATTCTCGCACCGTGACTGCTACGGCTCCGGAAGGGGCGGTCTCGGGTGCTCCTACTGCGCCCAAGCGAGGCCGCCGTACGGCGAAGCCTGTTCAGCCTCGGTCTCATGTCATGGCAACCTGTTCTCAAGGACCGACGCAGCATGTGGCTCTTATGATTGTTCCTGAACCGACTTGTTATTCTCAGGCAGTTCGGTATCCGGAGTGGCGTGAGGCCATGGATCTTGAGTTTAATGCGTTGCTCCAGAATCACACTTGGCGTCTGGTTAGTCGTACACCTGGCATGAATGTTGTGGGGTGCAAATGGGTGTTCAGAACGAAGCGTAAGGCCGATGGCACGATTGAGCGGCACAAGGCTCGATTGGTCGCAAAGGGTTTCAATCAAGTCGCTGGGCAAGACTTTTTTGAGACTTTTAGTCCTGTTGTCAAACCCACCACCGTGCGTCTTCTTCTCTCTTTAGCCGTTTCTCGCGGTTGGGTCATTCGGCAGTTGGATGTTCACAACGCCTTCCTCAATGGTAATCTTGCAGAGACAGTTTACATGAGACAGCCGCCCGGTTATGAAGTCCAGTCACGGCCGGATGATGTGTGTTTGTTACAGAGGTCACTCTATGGTCTTAAGCAGGCTCCTCGAGCGTGGTTCAATAGGTTGCATGCTTTCTTGGTGTCGGTTGGTTTTTCACCCTCCAAGACTGATGTTTCTTTATTCATCTATACTCGTGCCTCTATTTGTTTATATTTGTTTGTCTATGTTGATGATATCCTTGTTATGGGATCTGATGCTTCGTGTGTTACTCGGCTTCTTACTGACTTAGCCTCGGAGTTTAAGATTCGTGACATGGGTGCTCCGTCTTTTTTTCTTGGCATTGAGACGGTCTCCAAGGATGGTGGTTTGTTTCTTTCTCAGCAGCGATACATGCGAGATATTTTGAGCCGTGCAGGTATGGTGGACTGTAAACCGTTGGTTACTCCGATTCCTGTGTCCCGTCCTTCTTCTGATTCTGTGGTTCCCTATGCGGATCCCACGCAGTATCGCAGTCTTGCTGGGGCTCTACAGTATCTTACTGTTACTCGTCTGGATCTCTCTTTTGCCGTGAATCGGGTCTGTCAGCATATGCACTCTCCAACCACTGAGCATTGGGCTATGCTCAAGCGTGTTCTGCGGTATGTAAAAGGAACTCTGCACTTTGGTCTTTTTATTCATCCTTCCTCCTCTGTTGCGGTTCATGCCTTTTCGGATTCGGACTGGGCTGGTGATCCAGCTGACAGGAAGTTTACTAGTGGTTTTGCGGTTTTTCTTGGTGGCAATCTGATTTCCTGGTCTTGTCGGAAGCAACGCACGGTTGCTCGTTCGTCTACAGAGGCTGAATACAAGGCTCTGGCTAATGTCTCTGCGGAGGTCACCTAGTTGGTTTCTCTGTTGCACGAGCTTGGAGTGTCATTGGCTGCTCCTCCCACTCTCTGGTGTGATAATTTGGGTGCGACTTATCTCTGTTCCAACCCGGTGTTCCATGCTCGTACAAGCATGTGGAAATTGATTACCACTTTGTTCGTGACAAAGTGGCGAAGAAGGAGTTGCAGGTTAGCTTCATTTCCACAAAGGATCAGCTCGCTGATGTGTTCACTAAAGCTCTCCCTGGTCCGCGTTTCTCTACTCTATGTGGCAAGCTCAATGTTGTTGCTAGTCCACCTTGTGCTTGAGGGGGAGTATTAGGACTCTATCATCATTAGTATTCGTTACCTATTATTATTAGTAATTAGTATTCGTTACCTATTATTATTAGTATTCGTCAAGTAATAGGTTTACTATTCACTACTATATATACTCCTGTACAGACTCATTATTATTGATTCAGATATATCGTATCCTCATCCGTTATACTGTATGGAGTATTTCTTTTCCAATTATTTTTCTTCAAATTTATATATTTACAACACTAAATTCTACAACTCTAAAATTGAAATATAATATATCAAATTCATGGATTTAAATAAATAATTATTTACTAAGTAGCTTGTGATCTGTTGGTATTGGGTTGCTCCTCTAAGTGGAAGGTGATAGGTTTAAACCTCATTTGAAGCAAATAGTGTGTATATGTAGGGTATCCATTTCCTTTTAAAAAAAATAAATATATAATTATTCAAAAATTATTAGAAATATATGTACTTATTGATATATGCATTTTTTCTTACTTTCAACCTCATATGTAATGTTTCATTTTTAGTATTGATACAATTTTTTAATCATGATCTAGCTTTTTATTTCTTTCACATTTTGTACATTTAAATTTTCAGAAAATGTTAATTCATAATTAGTACAAAGTCAAATACAAATGTTATACTAAAAAAATCCGTTTCCAGATTAGCAAATACAAAGTTTTAATATGCGGAGAGCGTAGAGGTTTTTTAAATACTATGCTAAATTTTGTATACAAATAAATTTTTAATAATTTGTAATTTTATTTCTTTTCAATGCTATCAAATATTTTTAGGCCAAGATTGATGTTCGATTAAAGTTTACCTTAACCCTATCAAAATAGGATGTTGAAGTATTAAGACCAAGATTAGGCCAAGATTGAGATAACAACATTGAAAATCGTAATAATCGAACAAGAACATGAAGAACAATTATGGATGAGAGTAAACCTAGCTTGCTAGGATTTATGTAGATTAAGACTAACATTATCCCAATTACGAATGGTGTTGTATCAAATCAAAGCCAACCGTGTGTTTATGGTGTATTTCAATGATCGGTATCTACACCCTTAAGCGTAGTGACAAATGGTTAGTATGCCATATAATTTTTTAATAATTTATTTCATCCAACATGTAGATTCTTTTAATTTTGTTCATATAAACCACAATTATCTATCAATAATATTTGATATTACAATATAGATTATGGCCCTGTTTGGTAAAATGGCTGTTAGCTAATAGCTGTTAGCTGTTAGTTGATTGTGTTAATTAGATGGTATAAATAGTTGATAACATTAGCTGATTGTAGAAAAGTGTTTGGTAAATTAGCTGTTAGCTGATAGTTGTTTGGTATAATTTCTTTTTTCAAAAAGCTAATTGAAAAAGTTGCTTGGAGTAGCTTTTTGAATTTTAGCCTTTTGGAGTTGCAAAAAGCTAATTAACCAAACATTTATATTGATATTTTAACTAAATCAAACAATTAATAGTGGTCAAATAAGCCAAAATTGGCCTATAGGCCATTTTTTTACCAAACAGGGCCTATATACTTTTCATCAGCTTTCAAAAAAATATACTTTTCATCATATCTTTGTAAATGTTATAACAATTACTAATATTAATTTATAATAAAACATAGCCCGTGCATCGCGCGGGTGACATACTAGTTATTCCTAAAGCAACAAGACCAGTAGTTATCGGAGCAATTATTAATTCTTCATACCTCTGGACAAATTGCAAGGTATTAAAGCTCACAAAGAACTTGAGACTATGGACCTTAGCTTCAAAGGAAGATAGACAAACAATTGATTGGTTTTCAAAATGGATTGCAGACATCGGAGATGGGATTGTAGGGGTTGTAAACGGCGGTTCATTTGACATCGATATTCTGGCATAGTTTTTGTTGAAGTGTGGACACGATCACATAGCAACTATAGTGGAAAACACCTTCCCACGCTGGAGATATGACATGCTTGATGAGTCACAGCTAGAAGGCCGAGCGATCATCTCGCTGACTTTAGATGTCGTTGATCAAATTAATCAGTACATGTGCGACATGAATACTGCAGAAGGACAAACATATTTAAGTTGTGACTCTTTGTGTAAGGCAGAATCAGACAATGAAAGTCTATCAGAAGTACATACTCCTGAATTCTTAAATAGTTCGAGATTGCCGGGTTTTCCTAATCATTCATTGACATTAAAGGTCGGTGCACCTGTTATGTTATTGCGGAACATAGTCCACTCTCTTGGTATAATATTTGTAATAGGACGCGGCTCATCATCACAAGAATGGCAGATCACATTGTCGAAGCAAGAATAGTTAATGGGACACATGGAGGAACCAAAGTTCTTATCCCTCGATTGTCTCCCACTCCTTCTGATACGAGATTGCCCTTCAAGTTCCAGCGTAAACAATTACCGTTGATACTTGCATATGCAATGACTATCAACAAAAGCAAAGGCCAAACACTAACTCACGTTGGGTTATTGCTAAAAAAACTGGTCTTTAATCACAAACAATTGTACATGACTTTCTCCCGAGTCACCCATCCTGATGGCCTGAAGGTGTTAGCTCTAGACGAGGATGAAAAAGATTGTGTTGCGACTACCAATTTCGTTTACAAAGAGGTTTTCAATAATGTGTAAATACAATCGTTGATATTATGTTTTTTTTTTTTTTTAAATGACAAAATTGCTATGTATCTAGACAAAAATATATCTTCTAAGCAAATGAATTAGGATAACAATTGATTACTATAACTAGATTGCTAAAGAACGAGCACATTTGTCTAATTTATAAAAATCTTAAACAACCGCATGCGTACATCTACACATTAGCTATTAATTTGAGCAATTATTTGCTCGAATTCAAGCAATGATATCATCAACAAACATAAATGATCCAGACCATATTTTCAACTGCACTATATAATGTTTGATGTTATAATTTAAAAAATTGTATAATGACCCGAATATTTTTAATATATTATAACAAATCAATTCTGTGCATCGCACGAGTGAAAATACTAGTTTGGAAAATAACAATTAAGTCATCGAACTCAAATAACCCCCAAATAAGCCATTGAACCCGACCAAAAAAAAAGACAAATAAACATTTTTAACCAGTTAACTCCTGATTTTTGCTTACCGAATTGCCAAACGTTTATTTTAATTACATTTTTTTTTATTATAATCCACCTATATAGTAATATATTTTAAAGTAAATATAGTCAAAATAATTTTTTCTTGTCTAGATCTAATTTATTTATTTATTATTATTTTTAAAACAGAAGATCTAGTAAAAAATAATAATAAATAAATAAATAAAATCTCGACAAGACAAAACTATTTTGATTATAATTATTTTGAAATATATTACTACGTAGGATTATAATAAAAAATTGTAAATAAAATAAACATTTAGCAATTCAGTCAGCAAAAATCTGAAGTTAACCTTTTAAAAATATTAAATGCTCATTTTTTTCCGGGTTCAATGGCTTATTTGTTTTTTTTTTTTTTATATTTCTGGATTTAATGGCTTATTTGAGAGTTATTTGAGTTGGATGGCTTAATTATTGTTTCCCAAATAATTTAGTGGTTTATTTTTATATTATCCCTATTATTAGTATATAAAATTTATATATTTAGAAACTACATTAAAATTTAAATAAACAAAAAAAATTAAATTTAAAGATAATTAAAAACTAATAAAGAAAATAAGTAAAAAATAAATAGTTAATTTGATCAATAAAAAGTAAATATGACAATACAAGTAAAATAGGAAAGATGTAGAATTAGAATAGAAAATTGTTATGTTTTTCCATATCTTTTTCTAATAAAATCGTTACATGGTCTTTCTAATGTAATCTTAAAAATGGATGTTCTTTTTATATTTTTATTTCAAAGGATACTCGTGAATTGGTAGGCACTGTGAGTTAATAAAAAAAAAAAAAGTGTTACAAACTAATTAAATAACAAAAATTAATATAATAATAACAAATCACATAGTAAATATTAAGAAATGATTTTTCATGGTAACATAAAATTACTCAATATTTTATGATCAGAGTACAGCTTGTGTGGATCCAAATATATATCTGCCAACGTTTTCAATGCCGTTCAATCCATTTGTTTTAATTAACGTTGTCATTTTTCAGGACCTACCTACAATTATTGAAATAATGGCAGAGAAAAAAAAAATCAAATTGGCTAATACTTGACATGTCATTTTATTTTGGCGCTTATTTTTTAATCATTTATCCATCTTCAACACTTGTGTTAGGTCATTTCATTGTGAAACATATTTTAAATATTTACTTAATATTTTTAATGAAAATGTAAAAAAAAAAAAAAATTAAAAAAAATTAAGTTAACCAATATTACATTTTCTCTAAAACTATTACTTGTTTAACTTCTTGAAAAGTATTAGTAAAATAGTTTTCGGTGAAAAATGTAATTATTATTTTTTTTTGAAAACAAAAATGTAATAATTAATTCATAGAAAAGTATTTTATGTTTTGCCAAAAAAATTCACACATTTGAGATATGTTTCACAGGAGACAATTTTACGTAAAACTAACCATCTATCTATAATCTATGAGTAATGCTAGGCTTCCTATAAAATTCATTTTTCTACTATTAAATACTCTCATATTATATTGGATTATTTTTTCTATTTAATTATTTACAAATTTACAAATTTATTGTGGTATT